GACACTGCAGCAAGAACTGGTAAAGGAAATCCATGAGCACCCGCTCCATGGACACCAAGGAATCTTCAAGACCCAGCAACGAGTCAAGAAGCAGTTCAATTTCGAAAACCTCAAGGCAGTGGTCACATCGGTAATCCTCAAATGCGACCTCTGCGCACGAAGCAAGACCTCAAGGCGCAAGCCATACGGCGAGCTCCAGAGCATCGCACCACCTGACAGGGCCTGGCAGGTCATCTCGATGGACTTCATCACGAAGCTCCCACCTTCCCAGGACCCGGCAACAATGATCGCATACGACAGTATCCTAGTAGTCACTGATCGACTCACCAAGTATGCGTTGTTCATCCCGTTCCTTGAAACATACACGGCCAAGCAAACGGCGTGGATCTTCAAGAAGGAAGTTATCAGTAACTTTGGGATACCCGAAAAACTCATCACAGACAGAGACAAGCTCTTCACCTCCCACTTCTGGAAGGACTTGATGAGTCAGATCGGCATCCAACATAGCATGTCCACGGCATTCCACCCGCAGACAGACGGACAAACCGAGCGTATGAACCAAAACGTGGAACAATACCTCGGGTGCTACATCAGGGAAGATCAGTCCGATTGGATCGAGCACCTCCCCACGGCTCAGTACGCGTACAACACCTCGACGAACGAAGACTTGGGAGTCAGTCCATTCTTCGCGAACAAAGGCTTTGATCCTAAGGAACCCACCGCATTACGAGATACGATGGTTCCAGAAGCCTTCATCGAAGCACAGAAGCTCGTGCACCTCCAAAAAGAACTGAAAGACATGGTCATTCAGCGACAACGAAAGCACAAGCAACTCTACGACAAGAAAAGGTCGAAGGGACCGACCTATAAGGAGGGGGACAAAGTTTATCTGCTACGCAAAAACATCAAAACAAAACGGCCAAGCAGTAAACTGGATTTCAAAAAACTTGGACCATTCCGCGTCAAGAAAGTTTTGGGACCGCTTAATTGCGAACTCTCACTACCAAAGGGAATGAAAATCCACCCAATATTCCACACCTCTCTCCTCGAACCAGCACACGCCGACACACCACTCCAGGCAGACATCGAGGTCGAACCAGACCAAGAACATGAAGTCGAGAAAATCCTAGACGACAAGATTAGCAAAGGAACCAGATGGTACCTCATCAAATGGGCGGGATACGATGACTCAGAAAACACTTGGGAACCAAGGAAGAACCTCACGAACTGCAAGGAACTTCTTCGCGAATGGGATAACCGGCCACGAAGCTTCCAGGAACAACCCTGGAACTGGACACGGCAGAAACACAAGGGACAGATGGCGATCAAATCCGCCACCATCCAAGAAAAACCAGACGACCAGTATCAGACGTACGAAGTTGAGAAAATCCTCGACTATCGAGACGTAGGGCACACGGAGTACCGCGTGGAATGGGAACCAGGAACACACAAAGAAAACAGTTGGGAACCAGAAGACAAACTCACCCTCTGTAGGGAGCAACTCATCCATTTCTGGCTGAAGACAAACTGGGACCCCCCGTATCGAGCAAGGGCGGACCAGGCGCTGAAGACGCTTGGGTACGAGTACCCCCGAGGTCCAACACGACAGGCGAAGCGGAAGGATCGACACCAACAGACGACCAGTCGAAATCAGGGGGGACACCCATCGTCGACAACTCGCCCACCAGCTCCCGCTCGTGGCCGTCGAGCGCCGGCAACAGACCGTCCTCCCGATCCAACTCCACCATCCCACGTTCGAAAAGTTCGGTCCCGCGACTCTTGGCTTTTCGTTTCAGTGTCCGAATCCGACGAAGACGAACAAGCGCGTCCCCAAGATCGCGCTGGAGACGGTTCATCTGCTCCTGAAGAGCAATGATGTCCTCCTCGGCCTCATCCTCGTCCTTCTCCAATTCCTTTTGGGTCTGAAGCACCCGTGACAAGGTTGAAGCCACCGCGACACCGTCGCAGGACTTCTTGTCACGAACACAACGCTCGCAACGATTGGAATCCGGAACCATCCGACAAGACATGCCAGACCCGGAACGGAAACATCGGGTACAAGGCATCGCGGAGTCCTCCGCAGAAGAATCAATGAACTGCGCACAGGCGGCACGTTCAGAAGTAAGATCCAAGACGGGATCACGACGCTGGCGAATGCGAGGGGTCCGCAGGGGACCTGGCGGCGGCATGGTTAGCGTTGAAGAAGGAAAGAAGGCCAGGACATCGGGTCGCGGGGCCGCACCTTTCTTATGTCACTGAGGACAGCGCCTAGGAGGGAAGGGGGATAATGTGACGACCCGACCAACAGGGGAACTGCTTGGGGCTGAGGTAACAAACAAGCCCAGCACAAACAAGGCCGCAGGATCAGGCCAGGGACAAGGGCGGACCAGCGAAAGGCTGGCGGGGAACACATTATGTAAGCACCCACCTTACGTCAGCAGCCGACGATGAACGGTCGCACGGCGACCATCATCCGTCGGTCTTGCGACAACAAACTGTCGGCATGCGACCCAACGGTGTCGCAGGACGACGGGCACGATGAAGGACAAAGGGATATATAGAGCCAGAAGGATCTCCTAGATAGACAGTCATTACCTTTGTACTTCAGCGATCAATCTAAGTATCAGTTTCACCCACACTTGAACTAGTCACTCAATTGCCGAGACTGGTATCTCTTCCAAGAGACACGAACGACAACCCAGAGAGAGAACGACAGCAGAGTGTTAGTTGTTATTGTACAGGCTTTACCTATCTTGCAGAACAGCAACCCCAGCGCCCTGCCAGACGGCTGACCCCGGAGGCAGGATCGTGACAGCTATAAGCTATCTAAAAAGAATTACTTAGACCCAGTTTTACTCCCTACTTATAGAGATATAGTAAAGTTAGATTTCTTAACTATAGAGGAGATTTTTAAAGTTAAATATCTCTATAACGTAATCCACAAGTGGGTGAATCACACAAGTGGATGAATCAGTCCCCCGCCACTTTCGTACAGGCTGTCTTCTTTCCCCCTTTTCTCCACCAATAATTATGGTACGACAATCAAATAAAAGCGATTTAGTTCTCGTGCTAAATGCGCTTCAATCGAACCCAGAATTGAGCGTACGAAAGGCTGCATCACTCTATAATGTATCATTCTCCACCCTCCAGCGACGACAACACGGCCGACCTGCGAAACGCGATCTCCGACCATATAATCAGAATTTGACCTCGTACGAAGAGGACAGCGTCGTACGATATATAATCGACCTAGATTCGCGATCGTTTCCGCCGCGGTTAAGTGGTGTTCGAGAAATGGCGGATCGACTCCTCCGTGAACGCGACGCGCCACGCGTCGGAACGAACTGGGCCTCAAACTTCGTACGACGACGACCTGAGCTCCGTACGCGTTTTAATCGAAGAATCAACTACCAGAGAGTCCTCTGCGAGGATCCGGACGCGTATCGCGCTTGGTTTACGCTCGTACGAAACATAGTCGCGAAATACGGGATCCATAATGACGATATCTACAACTTCGACGAAACGGGCTTCGCGATGGGCAAGATCTCCGCCGAAACTGTCGTTACAACCTCCGATCGACGCGGGAGGCCAAGAGCCGTACAACAAGGCAATCAGGAATGGGTTACAGTAATCCAGGGCATCGCGTCGTACGGCTATTCAATCCCACCATATATCATATTCGCAGGGAAGGTCCACCTCGACTCCTGGACCGCGAATAGCCCTCTACCGGCCGACTAGGTAATCGCGCTTTTAGACAACGGTTAGATGACGAATAAGAGAGGTCTAGAATGGGTAAAACACTTCGATTTCCATACGAAGAGTCGTACGAAGGGTACCCACCGCCTCCTCATCCTCGACGGCCACGAGAGCCACCATTCCGTCGATTTCGAGCTCTACTGCAAGGAACAGAACATTGTAACGCTCTGTATGCCTGCTCACTCCTCACATAAGCTCCAGCCACTCGATGTTGGGTGCTTTAGCCCTCTGAAACGGGCGTACGGTAAAGAAATCGAGGGTCTCATGCGGGCGCATATTGCCCACATCTCAAAGGAGGACTTCCTCCCAGCCTTTTATAAGGCGTACGACGCTACGATAATAAAGTTAAACATCTAGGTAGGCTTTAGAGCAACTGGCCTAGTACCGTACGACCCGAATTCTGTGATTTCGCAGCTAGATATGAAGTTTCATACGCCGACACCGCCAGGTTCCTCTGCTGGACTACCACCCCCTTGGGTTTCAAAGACGCCGAATAACCCAATTGAGGCCGAATCGCAGACAGAGTATATTAAAAATCGCATCGTACGACACCAGAATAGCTCTCCGTCGTCTATTATTGAGAGCCTGCGGCAGCTTAATAAAGGAATTACAATGATGGTGCACGAGCAGACCCTTATGCGCCATGACCTCGCCGAACTTCGAGATGCAAACGACCGCCTTGGCCGCCGTCGTCGTACGAAAAGAAAACAGCTACAGAAAGGAGGGTCCCTAACGATTGATCAGGCAAAAGATTTGAAGGCTCAAATCGACGCGACGGAGCAGTTAAGGGCGGAAACGAGTCAGCATAGTGGCCGTACGAGGAGGACAGAGACGTGCGCGCGACGCTGTGGCGTCTGCGGGGAGCCCGGCCATAATGCGCGTACGTGTCAGAAAGTTGAGTCCACCTCTGAAGAAGAGGATTCTGAATAGTTTGAATTAATTTGAGGCGTTGTGGTTGATTTCTCTTATATATTGTCGCGTAGGTAGGACGGAAGTGTCCCACTCCCTTGTTTGTCCCACTCCCTTGTGGAGTACGTTACGCCGAAGAAATTCGTCGAGCATATGGACAAGCGTGGCTTACAGCAGGGTCGCGAGCCGCGATTTCCAGACACAGAGATCACGGACTGGCCGTACGGCACTGCAGAACAAGCCAAATTCGCCCGATGGTCAGAAGGATTGGGTTGATCTCGCATTTGTCAGGGGAGACCAGTTTGAGGCGTACACCTAATCAAGATCCCCACAACGTAGGGGCTACTATGAAGATTTCAATATTCGCTAATATCTGAACTAAGGCTAGTAAGGGATACTGTAACTATGTGAACGGCCGAAGTTGTTTGGTGGAAGACACAAACTCAGACCGGAACTGCACCACTGATGGGACTGATCAAAGAAACATCGCGCTGCCAACTATGCTGGAAGGGAGAGTGCACCGGGAATACCTCGAGTACATCCAAGCCCATTAGGCTCGCCTGGTCCTTGAGATAAAGAGATTCGCTACTAGGCTGATACTTGTAATTGAGCACATGTGAAGTGCTGTTGTTTGTGCGCGTGCACATTACCCAGGGAGGTAGAGGGACAATCGAACAAAGTCTGCGTGGTTGTGGCTTTTGATGTTGTTTGTTGATATCGACGAGTTTATTGCACAGGGAGGACGGTGACTCCCGAATCGTCTCTGCGAGGGGTACAGGCCGGAGCGCTACCGCCTGAAGGCGTTGCCGTGCAAGAAACGAGGATTGCGATTCGTAGTGCAGCTGCTCATCCGGAGCACGCAGCGCCTTGCAGTGCCGGGAAGTCATCTTGACTCCTCTGTTCAGCGATGGCATACGGAACCGTAGAGCATATAACATGTCTTCGACCCTGAAGGTTCGATGTGTTCTGAGCTTGTCTATTTGTTGACTGGTCAGTAACGTAAGGATGGCCAGCGGAAGATGTGACTGACCTAGCATGCCTGACGGCAGACACACGGGCAAAGAAGGATGGCTACCTCGCACCATGGCGCTCTCGATTTCGAAGTCCATGACGAGACGAGCCACAACAAGCTCGTATCCGGACCAGAACCCCAACTAGTAGAAGATCCAGCTAAGTCGTAGGAGTGACTCCTCGTCTCGGGCCGCGTCTCTGAATGAATTTGTCCAGGAAGCAGCGAAAGGTCGGAGCAATGGGAGGCACTTGTACTTGCATGCTGTAGTGACAAGATCATACAGGCCGCGGACGACCGGGGTATCCATACAGGCATCATACTGTAGAGGTTCGTGTGTGCCGTGCATGAGTCGAAGAAGTCGACGCATCGAGGCCACGTCATTACCGGGGAGGTCACTGGTCTTTACCCGCGTGACTATCGACGGGCCTTGGCTAAAGGACGTTGGATGCTCTGACCAGGGCACGCGAGAAAATTTTGAATGTCGAGGGAGTTGATTTGTATCCGCTGACTACGACAAGGAGGTCGCCATCCGGATCGATGTCCTTCGATGGCAGCATCTGGAAGCGCCGACGTGGATGACGTAGCCATAGATGGTGATGGAATGGCGACTTGGAAGTGCGGATGGGTGATCTGGCGGTTGGGACGGACACACAGATGATGCTAGAGTCAGGCTGGGGATGAATGGGGTGTGCCGGGAGACGATGACCGTAGCGTAACGAATACAGGACTGGGCGACTGCACACCAAAATATTGCCGTGATGAAGGCTGTGGAAATGGTAGAGGTATTGTGTCGAGGACAAACTGCCGGCAGACGACCTCGAGAGACGCGATGTTGACAAGGGCGGGGTTGGCGACCCCACTCTTCAGACAAGCCTTATCGTTGCCGACAACGTCGAGCGGTACCTGCCAAAGTTGCAGCGCCACCTTCTTAGTGCGGTGCCGGCTCTTTTAGAAGCCACGGTCCATTTGACCCGCCTTCGTGGATGCCACCCTCGCAATGGCTTCTCCAATCGCCATCAGAAGCGGCCTCTAACGAGGCACGAGGTGATGAGAAGGCCTGGCGACCACTGCGTACTGGACAGGACGAGCTTCTCGAATATTCCGTCGCGGCAATGGTGACCTTTCGCAATTACAGCAGGACTGCACGGACAAGGTTGTCAACAACTGCTTGAGATAGCGACACGTGAAGGTGGTGCACTTTGTTGACGACCACGAAGACCGTTCAAGGTCTTCGAGCCCTGGAGCTCCCAATTTCTTCACCTTCGTCTCGACAAGCCACTTGCCCGCATTGTCAAACCACCTTCGATGTCAAGGCGGAGCGGCAGCTACACCAATACGAGTGCACCGCGCCGCGTGCTCACGACATCATTCAAGCTGGAAAGCCTTCACCGCTGGATGCAGAGCAGGGCACCTACGAATTCTGCAGAATGGTCTGCGAGTCGCGTAGCGGGCTCTTCAGCCACCTTGCAGCCTATAACGACACCAACCAGGCCGTCACCCACACGGCATGGCTGACCAACACCCCACAGCCCACGCCGTTGGTGCCACAAGCTGAGCTGCCCGTAATAGTGGGCGCACTTGCGTTGGCCAGTGACAAGCACACGGCCCGTTTGGCAGTTTCACCCACTTGCGGGAGAAGGCACGAGCTAGGTACAGTACCCTTGGCGGGCCAGACGTCGACGTTTGCGTCCATCCCGACGTTAGGTGCACATTCATCTGTCGCTCCTCCTAGAAAAATTGGAGCACACCGTGATTAACCAAACCGGCCAGTCTTCGGGCGCCAGCAACAAAAAGGTCAAGCACACACAACAAGTCAAGTTCCGCTTCTACCTGCAGAATGTCGAGAAGAAGTGCGCCCCGACCCCGATGCGCTTCGGCAAGGACTTTGGCCCGGGCCATGCTCGTCGGCAACGACCTTTCCAAGCCTCATGCCGCCAACATCAGTTGCGATACTGGACGCATCTGCTTTACTGAGACGAACAACTTTGCTGTCGACTTCGACGTCTTCGACGTCAGTCGGCGCACCCAGCAGTGCCTATGCAAAGTTACCAGCAGCGACACCGTCACTGTGCCCCCAGGCCAGTCAGCCTACATCATCGCCGATTACAAGGCTCTACCTGCAGACCGCTGCTTCTTCTTTGATGCAGAGCATCTTGCCGCCTTCAACGCCGTCGTGGACACCAAAACTCCGCACATGGTCCCAATCACCAACACTTCCTTCCAGTCGGTGACCATCAAGCGGAAGGATCGCCTCGGCAGTATCCACGAAATCACTGACGGCAGTCTCTTTGTAAACTCTTGAGTTATCGCCAGGAAGGTGCTCACCAATACCGCGGCTGCGCTGGCAACGGCCACCGGGCTCTCGGTGCACGCCGCTAGCTCAAGGAATTCTAAGCTGAGCGCAGACTGGAGTATGGCCAGCTCCGTGCCGCCGTACGTATCAGGCTGACGGCCCCACACGAGCCGTCACGAGGAGCCGTGCGGGCCTAAGCGAGGTCACGATCTTAGTAGAGATTGTCCGGCAGCTCGGCGTAACGCCACCGACGAAGCTGGCCGTGCCTGCACGAGCTCGCCTGCCAATGCTCGACCGGTCCAATGCGGCGTTGTGACTAGAGCATGTGGTGGTCCGGGCACACAGCAAGTCTGAGACGGCTTGCGCAAGGACTGCGTGCTGATTGCCAAATTTTGACCTGCGACCTTCCGCTTCTCGACGACTAGGGGGCCTACATGTGTACTTGAGTTCTTGTTCGGATCAGATCATGCAGGCGCATCAGTTATAATTATCTATGCCGCCTTTGACCGGTGGCATCGCGCGCAATGAGCCTATATCTCCAGGAAGCGGTCCCTCAGATAGCTGTACGGTACCCAAAGGCCGAGCCAGATTGCCACCGTCGCCACGATCGCAGATCAATGCAGCGCTCAGACGCGACACGAAACACTAACACTTCATACTGGAGCACCTCGAGACCATCGAGGCGACCCTGCTTGCTTTTAAATTGACGAGTATGTTTCTCCGATGCGTGGAGTGTACGGGATATTCCGCGCGGTAGGAAGTGGAGCGAGAAGAGAGAGACACTGGCCACGCAACTTCAGGCAACCACATGTCTGGCATATATCACGCTAGAGGACTGGGAACGACTGACAGCATGCGGCCTACTACAAATTCGGAAGTTTAGATGAACGCATCTTCGAGGGTAAAGCCCGCCGCAGCAGCAAGCCTGCCGCGATGTCCCGGATGCCGAGTTGTTCGGTGAACTCTGCAACCGACCTGCGCTAGGTCATACGGCTCATGGGGCCAGGACCGCAGCAGTTGCTGAGGTATAAGTGTCACTTAACCAGTCCATCGAGAGAAAGCGCCGTGCTCTAACCCAGGTTAACTTGTCATATCTCAAGGTTGACTCTACACCCGATGACTACGGTGTCGAAAACATTGTGCTTTCGTCCACTCCACGATAATCACGTAAGTTTCTGCGTTCAATTCACAGGTTCTATCTCCTATTACACCACGGTTATGTCAATTCCTATAAAAGCTATCAGTCTTGGTTTCTGTACACGGAGCTGCGGTAACATTGGAACTTTAGTAATAGTGACGTGACAGGTCCTATAGAGGTACTTGGTCGAGGGTACCTCCATAGATATAAAAAAAGGTAGAACGTCCAATATAGATGTAGATATAACCACACCAAGGTTTTTGTTCTTCTGTGATAATGGATTCGGCACAACTTAAGCCGTACTTAGGGAAAGCTCATTATCAGACAACGTTCAAGCGCGTTTCCAAACATGGCTGCTTTTCTGCTGTCAGTGACCATTGGGAGAAATTTGTAGTGTCAAAGACGCCGACCTCTCAAGACGACCGAGGACACCAGATCCTCACAGTCACAGGTACTCGTGTGGAGGTATTCACGTTCTCTCCAGACTCCAAATACCTACTATACACTTTGGATAGTCGAGCTAGTGTGTGGGTTCTACATCTCAACACTGGTGCTCTCAGTCGCTTCCCTGGCTCGTCGATTAGCGACGCAGGCTTTATGAAGTCTGGAGACATATGCTACCTCGTAACTACAGCAAGTTTCGGGCAGGAAAAGACTATGTTACGATTGTACAGATTACAGGATCTTACAATCCGAGAACGAAGAACTGACGCACCAGAACACGACATAGTTAAGATATTATCTATGAGGGTGCGGTCCTTTGTTCCGTGGTCGGACAATACATTGCTACTGGCTGACTCGGTGGGCCATTTTTGGCGATGGGAGTATGGATCGAACATGAACCCACACAAACAGGCCCTATGCCAACTGGTCAATACACAAAAGGCTGACCCCGAATGTAACTACCACTCTATACAGTCAGATTCGAAATCGGTGTCCCGCTTCCGTTGGGCGTAAGTCTCTTTGCGCACGAGCCGCTCGTCTTGGCAACGTGGGGCACATAAGTGGAGACATGCCTGGACAGACCGGGCATCTCGGACAGCTGTTTTGCGCGCCAATAGTAATTTATAGCGTCGTCTGGTGTCTTTTATTTATTGCATCGACGAGGTGAACGTGGAAGAAAAGCGGCATATGGTATATGCCAATATAATACGGTCACTGCAAGCAAACATTCCCGCAGTTATTACTATACGGAACGGAATTTCTACATTACATGTTCATGCAATCATGCCAAAATGGCCGGCAAGATGGCTGCCTGAATGTGCAGTACTGTAGCTGCCTTGCGAGGCTGACTCCTCATCCTCCGCAAACTGGGTCGCTTTTAGGCACCCCGACACAGTACTATACAGTAGTATGATATCTGCGGAATAGGACACTGGTTTCAAGCGTCAGCCCCGCTTCTGGTTCCCGCAGGTGGGACTGTCTCCATGCACTTAACCCTTTCCTTTTCCAACCGCTATTGAACGCCTGCTGGTTGTGCCCCACCACGATCCTGATGCTCGAGCATACTCGGTTTTCGTGACCAAAGTCGCATCACGCCGTCGCTGGCCAAAACCATCAATCAATCGAGATACCCTGCTCAGACCACCTTTGCAGGATGCGGCTCTTGGAACTCCAAGAGGATGGCAGCCTCAGACTTAAGGAGCACCCTCAAGAGGACGTCCCGCCATATGATATCCTCTCGCACACCTGTGGAGCCGATGACCAGGAGATCACCTTTCAAGACGTTCAACATCATACAGGCCACCACAAGGTCGGGTATAAAAAGCTCACGTTCTGCAGCCAGCAGGCTGCGCTGGATGGCCTGAAAAACTTCTGGATCGACACTTGCTGTATAGACAAGTCTAACAGCCAGGAGCTTCAAGAAGCGATCAACTCCATGGTTCGTTGGTACAGAGACGCCGACCATTGCTACGTCTACCTCAGCGACGTGGTCAACAATGGCGGCAAGGACGAAGACAAAGCGTCACAACTTCCATGGGAGACAGCCTTCAGAAGAAGCCGGTGGCTAACCCGCGGCTGGACGCTCCAGGAGCTGATCGCCCCACGGTCGGTCAAATTCTTCTCAGCAGAAGGATACGTACTTGGCAACAAAACAACGTTAGAGGCACTGCTCCACGAATGCACAGGGGTCCCTGTCGACGCGCTTCGAGGGAAACCTCTGGCTGACTTCAGCATCAACGAGCGACTCTCTTGGGTGGGAGGGCGCAAGACGAAGCGTCCCGAAGACCTTGCGTATTGCATGCTTGGCATCTTCGACGCGCATATGCCACTCATCTACAGCGAGGGCGAGGAGAAGGCATTCCTCAGACTGAGACGAGAGATTGGTAAGAAGTCATGGCTTCAGATGCGTTTCCAATATGCTGGAGCACAGGCTGACCAGTTTGTCCTGGTATGCATTCTTGTTTACAGGTAAGGACACTGTTAGCGAAGCAGCCAAGCAATGCATTGCCGACTTGCGCGTGACCGATCCTCGCCATGACAAGAGGCGCATCGAAAACATGAAGGGCAGCCTACTCAGGGACTCCTACTTCTGGGTGCTCGACAACCCGGACTTCCGCCAGTGGCGTGACAATAACGACCAGCGCCTACTCTGGGTCAAAGGCGATCCAGGCAAGGGCAAGACCATGCTACTCTGCGGAATCATCGACGAACTCGAGAGGATGCGCACCGAAGGACAGATTCTATCCTACTTTTTCTTCCAGGCCACCGATGGGCGTATCAATACCGCGGCGGCTGCATTGCGCAGCCTGATCTACATGCTCCTCGAGAAGGACGCCTCCCTCGTTTCTCACATGGAAAAGCAGCACGAGAAGGCCGGCAGAGACCTTTTTGAAGACACCAACGGCTGGCAGGCGCTATGTGAAATCTTCGAGAACATCCTCCAGGATGCCAAACTGCAGGGAGTTGTCCTTGTGGTCAACGCTCTGGACGAGTGTTTGCAAGGTCTGCCAGTGTTTCTCGACCTCGTGGTCAGGACCTCGCAAACAACCACAGCGAAATGGCTCATTTGAAGCCGTAATTGGCCTCAGATTGAGGAACCGTTGCGCAAAGTGGCGCACAGGCTTTCGCTTGAGGTTAATGAAACTTCAGTTACAGAAGCCGTAAATACATACATCGACCACAAGGTGTCCGAGCTTGCACGACGCAAGGGTTACCGCGACGACATAGCCAAGGAAGTCCACCACTTTCTGTCGTCGAACGCGGACGGTACCTTTCTCTGGGTTGCCTTGATCTGCCAAGAACTCGAGAAGACTCGCAAAGGGAACGCGTTACAGAAAGTCAAGTCTTTCCCTCCGGGCCTTGATGCTCTATATCAACGAATGATGGAGCAAATCCTCGCCTCAGAGGATACCGAACGCTGTACGCAGATTCTTGCACTCGTAGCAACAACCTATCGCCCACCGTCGCTGTCCGAATTGATGGCTTTGGTCGGAGAGCTCGATGACGTGGGAACCGATCGCGAATCGCTACAGGAGATCATCAGCCTATGCGGCTCGTTCCTCACCATTCGCGAAGACAAGGTGTACTGTGTCCACCAATCGAGGAAGGACTTTTTGATGAAGTCGCACGCGAGCGTTCTCTTTGCCAAAGGACAGCCATCTATTCACAGTCAGATTCTCCAGAACTCAATCGAGGCTATGTCCCGCATACTCAAGCGCGACATCTACAATCTGCACGACCCGGGCTTTCCTATGGAGGACATCAGCCCACCGGTGATTGACCCACTGACGGAAGTCGGCTATTGCTGCGTCTACTGGGTTAATCATTTAGTAGAGAGCATTACGAATCAGGATGAAGGCAGCAGCACACGCGACCGCGGAAGAGTCAACAACTTCTTGCGGGACAAGACTCTCTACTGGATTGAGGC